CTATATCACCTGTCATCTACTTATACACTGCACTATGGTGGCACAACTCTTGGGCCTTTTAATATTATTTCCCTACCAGAAAGTGAAGCACCAAATAACAGCCTGTTGTTATTTCCTTGTCTGCATGTGGATTACTGACCCAAAAAGCTGTAACTATAGACCTTCCCAGTTGCATTTAATTGGAATTACCACAAGGAAAAGAAATGGGGAGAAAAATATCAATGGCTACAAAAACTAATCAAACTACTGCTCCTTTTTCTCAGATGGTCTTGTTCCTACTGGAGGAATAAGCCTTCTCCTAAATTAGCGCCTCCTGATAAAACACCCTTGTTTGTGGAATCTTTCAGTAAGATTTCATGTGAGATTCAGATTTGTCCTCTATTTTTTTCACTGATTTTAAATTTTCGGTCTATTCCCTGTGTGGAAATACCCTGCCCAAGAACGCCTTACCACATCCATTGAGCGTGCAGAGCCTCTTGCCTCCTTCCCCTGTATGTACACACAGTTCCCCCCTCATTCACACCCAGTGACTTCATATTTTTGCTTTGCTTCTCAGCACCCTTCACACCTGGACTTGGGCTGGAGGACAATCACTGACAGGCCTTCTGCTTCTGGAGCACGTGAGGGTTCGTGGTTTTGGTTCGACTAAAGAGATTTTCAGAACATTTTATTTCCTTTATAGTGAGTGACTGTTGATAACAAATCCTACTTCACACTGCATCTCTTGATGCTGTCTGTTACCCCTATTGCTGAATACCTATGTCACCCATGGGGATTGGTGCTTGTCATCTCTATTGCCATCCAGGACAGATTGCACAGCAGAAAAGCAATTAAGCCAGCTAATGAGCTGCTATATACAGCATGCAGGTTTATTTGTTTTGGAGAGGTGAGCCCCCCTCAGCTTTCCAAGCTTGCTATATGAATTTGATAGCTGGCTATCAGCATGGAAATGATGATTAGGGAGCCTTCATTCTGTCATTCTCAAAGACATCTGTGTTCACAGAGAAGTGAGAAAGCTGGAACTTGTTATATACCATCCACAGTTAGAAGGCTTATCTGCATGTTCGATTGAAAATGTTATAACATAACATACATAATTATGGACTTGGTTATAAGAGCGTGTCTAATGGAGAGATTTGTACACAGAATATTTGACAGTAAAAACTGAACATGGCAATGGAGCATATATGAAGAAAAGCTACTCACTTTGAGCTAGTGGGAGCAGGAGTGCCTGAGGAACAGCGAACATGTGAACAATGTTTGAAGATGAAAAAAAAAAGTAAAGGAAAATAGGTATGGAATGTAGGTGTGTGAAGGACGTGAGAATCAAGATGAATATTACGAATAAATGGAGAAGTGAGTAAGACACAGGACTTCTGTCAATTTATGTCAATAGATACACCTTCATATGAAATATGACATGGCCCATTTCATTTCCCACAGCAGCCTTCACTCTTCTAAGCCATCTGTCAAATTTACATGCTACATATTATGCAGGTCATCTTCATTTGGCAGAAGTTGTTCCTGCAACCCAAAACAGAGAAGTGCTGTGTTAGACCACTTTATCCATTTTTCTCTTTTTCTTAATGAAGTATGACAGACATTTAAGAGAAAGAAAAAACAAACTGAGGGAGCAGTGATGCAGGTTTGGTAGGCTTTCATTGTAGGGTGAGGATGGCAAGAGTACATTGCCAATTAGTGCTCTGGCATTAAAACTATGATAACTTTTCCAGGTTTCTTGCCTCTTCATGTTACACACACACACACACAAAAACCAAACCCTTCGCTCTTGGGTGCTTTGTTCATCTCCTCCTGAGGAACAGGGAGAAGGATGAGGTAACATCAGATGGAGGGTACCATTCTGGCCTTAAAAATAAATGAGAGTGCCTGCTTGGCACTTTGGCATGAGTGTGCTGCAGACTGAGGGAGTTTCTATTTTCATGAAGCAACCACAGCCTACATAATTTCCTTCTGATTGCTGCAGGCAGCTCTGGGTGCAGTTGGCTGGAGTCTTGGAATCACGTTTTTCCACACCTTTGTTAGCAAGTTTTTAAGAAGTTTCAGCTCCTAAACTAAGCTTTTTTTTTTTTTTTTTTTTTTTTTTTAATAGATAAATATGGAGAGTCTAGAAGTTAAATCTGAAGCCTAGGACAATGTTAAATCTAAGTTTTTCAAGACAATTTCTCTTGTTTTGCTTAAGACTTTCACCAGGAATTTTTAATTTTTTTTCCACATTAGTTGAAGATTTAGGGAGGTGTAACTTACCAGTTGGAGCAGCAGCTGCTGTGCACCTGGAAATCTTGGACCTTCCTTCACCTAGTAGAGGATGCATCCTAAACTGCAGTTATAAGGAATCCATGAGATCTGAGCCATAATGGACATTCATCTGCTTTACATGGAACAGATATGTCATATCTCTGCCTGAGAAACCACAGCCCAGCCAAGGCCTTTTCTGGCTCAAACCTGAAGTAATTTGTCATAGATAAAACAATAATTTAGTCAAAGTGTTATGAGCTGAATGAAATGTTCCACATTCAGTCCTGTCATTTGCCCATTGCTTTGTTAGCCCCACATGCTCAACTCAGAATCCTTTTGCTGTCTCCATGGTCAATCCCGTGCTGTTTCTGCAGGTTCCTCACTGAACATGATCCTCTCTTGGGACTGCGAGGAGGGGTGAGGAAGAACCAGCCTATGCTGCAGGTTGATGTTACATTTATCTCAGCAAGGTTAATTAGTCTTTGTGGACTATTATAACAACCTGACTCTACTGCTTCCAAGTACCACGAACTAGTGCAGTGTCCTGACACGCTGCTGTGCTGTGCTGTGCAGACATGGTGCTGAGGTAACTGCTGCCAGACATGAAAAGGCAACAAAAGGGAAGCTGAGATGTGGCACACAGAGGAGAGGGTTCTTTACTTTAAACAAGAAAATCCAGAGTCCAAGGAAGGAAAGGATGTCATCCAGAGGAACCTGGACAGGCTAGAAAAGAGTATCCAAGGGTACCTAGTGAGGTTCAACAAGGTCAAGTGCAAGGTGGGTTGGGGCAATTCTAGACATGTGCAGACTGGGAGGAGAACTCCTTGAGAGCATGCCTACAACACAGACAGCTGGAGGCTCCTGGAAAGTGCTGTGTGCCTGCTGCACTCTGACCATGGGTCAGCCTCACAGCACTCCTTGCTGAAACTTCCGCTGACATGAACTCGTCCCATATATAAGCTCTTGTGTTTGAAAGGTCAGATCTTCTGAACAGGAGTAGCCTTATTTTTGCAAAATGTTACTCCTTTACCTCATTTTTAATGTACTTCACCAGTGCCCTCAGCGCAAAGCACATGGTTCTGCTTTCATCATTAAGGCCGTGTACAACTCTACCACACCTCACTGCTGCCCTGGTCAGAAGACCACAGCCTGCTGCTGCTGCTGAAATAACCCACAGAACACAGGTGAAGTACCCAATCTGTCCTTTGATCCAGGTAGCTTTTCTCATCCACTGCTCTTTTCTTTGTAACTAATGCCTTAGAGAGAAAAAAAAAAAAGAGAGAGAGTAAAAGAGGCCTAAGAAGTCAGGATCAGCTGTCCTGCATTTATAACCACACTGCTGCTGATGTTAATGTGCATACAGCTATAATTTAAAATAGCAAATTCAAAAGTGGAATGTAACTAGGATTGCAGTACAAACCCTGACAGGGTCTTACCAGTTTCAGGGGGCTGAGTTAAGGTTGTATTAGAATGAGTTGCTAAGTCTTTTCTTAGTTTTCAGAGCCTCAGTTTGCATTCTCTTAACTCTTTTATTTCCTGGTTTTTAAAGGTGAGCACTCTATGAAGGCACAGAGTACCGTGCTTCAGGGGAGCTTTTTTCTGTACAGTCACTGGAACCACCATACAGAAGAACACACTGGTCATTACAGCATTCAGCAGGCTCACTTCAGGTCTGACAGAGATTTCTTTGCGCTGTGGGATAAGGGACAAGGTTAGGATGTCAGACAGGGCAGAGACATAGTTCTTCCCCATCCACTGCCCGGACGCACCCAGCACCATCGCTGTTCCCATGTCTTCTTCAAACCGGTTACAGAGGCAGGCGTGGGCCGGGGCACCGAACACCTCCCGGGGGGACGGTACGGCTCCCCTCCTCCTCCGACTGCCGGGACAGCACAGGCGCGGGAAGGGGACGGGACGGGCACAGCTGGGCCGCAGCCTCTCCGGCTCCGCCGCCGCCGCCCGCTCGGCCCGAGCCCAGGCCGGAGGCTGCCGCCCCGTCCGCCGCCGACGTGCCTGGGTTCGGGCCCGGCTTCCGCGGCGCGGGGCGCGGCCCGACCTCGCCGTCTCCCGCAGGCCGGAGAGGAAGGGGCGGCCGGTCCGAACCGGCAGAAGGGACCCGAGCACAAGGGAAGCGCCGCTCCCCTCTCGGGCTCAGCCCGGCCCTCGGCGGCGTGGGAACGGCCGGGCGGGGCGAGGCGAGGGCCGGGCCCTGGCGGAGGGCGGGCGGGAAGATGGCCGGGGCCGGCGCCGGGCGGGAGCGGGGGGAGGCGGCGGGGCGCTGAGCGGCGG